GTATAGGGTCCCGTACAGGCCATGTAGGGTCTGTATGGGATCCCAGGCAGGCCGTGTATGCTCTGTAAAGGATTCCAAGAAGGCCGTGTAGGCCCTGTATAGGGTCCCATACAGGGCGTGTAGGCTGTGCATAGGATCCCACACAGGCCGTGTAGGCTCTGTATAGGATCCCATACAGGGCGTGCAGGCTTTGTATAAGATCCCGTACAGGCCGCGTAGGCTCTGTATAGGATCCCATAGAGGGCGTGTAGGCTCTGTATAGGACCCCATACAGGGCGTGTATGCTCTGTATCGGATCCCAAGAAGGCCGTGTAGGCTCTGTATCGGGTCCCATACAGGCCGTGCAGGCTCTGTATCGGATCCCGTACAGGCCGTGTAGGCTTTGTATAGGATCCCATACAGGCCAGGTAGTCTCTGTATCGGATCCCGTGCACGCCGTGTAGGCTCTGTATAGGATCCCGTATAGGCCGTGTATGCTTTGTATGGGATCCCATGCAGGCCGTGTCTGCTCTGAATAGGATCCCATACAGGCCGTGTAGGCTCTGTATAGGATCCCGTACAGGCAGTGTAGGCTTTGTATCGGATTCCGTACAGGCCGTGTATGCTTTGTATAGGATCCCATACAGGGCGTGCAGGCTCTGTATAGGATCCCCTGTGGGGTTCCCCAGGGATTCCCGACGGATTCGTCGGATTCAGCATGGATTCCAAAGGATGCCCGAAGGTCTCTTCGCCGGTGCGCATATCGCTTCCAGTCGCAGGAATACGTGGAGTTGCGTAAGGGTGGTCTCAGAGCCACGGTGACCATAGGGATCCTATGGGACTGGTGTTGGTGTTGGTGTTGGTGTTGGTGTTGGTGTTGGGGGGGGGTAGTGGGTCCACGGGTCGTCAGACCACGTGTTCGCCCAGTGGGTGAAGGCGTGGACTGTCAGGCCGTGGACGGGTGGGCAGTGCACGTGTCGACCTTGTTGTTGTTTTTGTTGCTGTTGTTGTTGTTGTTGTTGTTGTTGCTAATGTTGTTATTATTGTTGTTGTTGATGCTGCTGCTGTTATTGTTGTTGAACATTATTAATTCTAAAGAATAATTATTGTTGGGCCCCCTGGTGCGCGCCCCCCCCGCCGCGCCTAGGCCGCAGCCACGTTTTCATCATTTTCGTGAGGAAGCCTCAGGTAATTCGAGGTGATCAAGATCCGGTTGTTTTGTTGTAATCCGTTTTCCCTTGCAAAAAACACTATAAAATGACATTTCTTGTTCTAATATAATCAAATTTCAAGAATCCCTTGCAAAAAATAAGGTAAAGTGGACATTCGCGCGCGCAAGACGAAATCCTTCCAAAAGCTTAGTGTTCGGAGCGATTTTAACATAAAAACATCAAAAAACCAATGGTTTTTCAACAAAAAAATGTCAAAATCTCATCCCGCGCGCTCTTGCGGATTCGTAGGAAACCCAACACTTTTTAAACATTTCTGTCAAACGGGCTTTTGCGAGCAACTTTTTCGAACTTCTGCGACAACGGTTGCGCACCTGCCAGGGCCATCATCCCTGTCAAATAATACCATGCGGGACACATTCGTTTTTTCTTCGCGCGCGCACGCCGAAATCTCCAAAAACCATTGGGTTCTGTGGGTGTGTACCCCACGCCAGTGTAGTAGCCACGGTCGTCCGCACGCCACGAAGTGAAGTGTCCCAACGTCATAGGGCGGGAAGCTGGGTTTGGGTGGTCGCGAAGAGTCGTTTGGATATTTGGTAGAGCTTGTAATGCCCCCCCACGAAGTGGGGGTATTGCCTGGTGTCGTATGAAAACCCTGGCACTGGGGAGAACACCACGCGTTCGGGTAAAATGATTGTTGTTGTTGTTGTTGTTGTTGTTGTTGTTGTTGTTGTTGCTGTTGTTGTTGTTGTTGTTGTTGTTTGTTGTTGTTGTTGTTGTTGTTGAACATTATTAATTCTAAAGAATAATTATTGTTGGGACCCCTGGTGCACGGCCCCCCTGCGCCGCCTAGGCCGCAGCTACATTTTCATCATTTTCGTGAGGAAGCCTCAGGTAATTCGATGTGATCAAGATCCGGTTGTTTTGTTCCCCCCCGCTTTCCCTTGCAAAAAACACTATAAAATGACATTTCTTGTTCTAATATAATCAAATTTCAAGAATCCCTTGCAAAAAATAAGGTAAAGTGGACATTCGCGCGCGCAAGACGAAATCCTTCCAAAAGCTTAGTGTTCGGAGCGATTTCAACATAAAAACATCAAAAAAACTAATGGTTTTTCAACAAAAAAATGTCAAAATCTCATCCCGCGCGCTCTTGCGGATTCGTAGGAAACCCAACACTTTTTAAACATTTCTGTCAAACGGGCTTTTGCGAGCAACTTTTTCGAACTTCTGCGACAACGGTTGCGCACCTGCCAGGGCCATCATCCCTGTCAAATAATACCATGCGGGACACATTCGTTTTTTGCGCGCGCACGCCGAAATCTCCAAAAACCATTGGGTTCTTAAGAATTTTAGCACCGCGCATCATAAAATCACAATTGCACCATGCTGGGCACATGCGCGCCCCGAATAAGTGACCAAGTTCTGTGGGTGTGTACCCCGCGCCAGTGTAGTAGCCACGGTCGTCCGCACGCCACGAAGTGAAGTGTCCCAACGTCATAGGGCGGGAAGCTGGGTTTGGGTGGTCGCGAAGAGTCGTTTGGATATTTGGTAGAGCTTGTAATGCCCCCCCACGAAGTGGGGGTATTGCCTGGTGTCGTATGAAAACCCTGGCACTGGGGAGAACACCACGCGTTCGGGTAAAATGATTGTTGTTGTTGTTGTTGTTGTTGTTGTTGTTTGTTTTTTAGTTGTAGAGCCGTTTTTTTCAATCCGATTGTTGTCGGTGTTTCAAACTGGTGCTCCCGCTGCAGCGTCGGCATCATTTTAGGATCGGCGCTGTGCTCGCGTCGTTCAGAATGACGCTCTCGCCCCAGCGCGAGCCACTTTTCTGGATCCGAGTCCTTTTTAATCGTCGTCGCCCTCCTCATTTCCCCTCCTCCGCCTTCCCCTGGTCCTCCTGCTCCACTCGCTTCTTTCATTCCAGCTGCTGCTGCTCGTCCTCCTCCTTCCTCACCGTCCTCCTTTTCATCCTGGTTATTCTCCTGCTTATCCGCCACCTCCTCCTCCAATGTACGCAGCTCTTTTTTTCCGACCGCACATGACACGATTGGGTTTTTTTTAGTTCCAGGCACGCTATGACAGGCGTCGGCGGATAGATGAAAAACAGCGCAGTGGAAAGGGATGGGAGGGAGGAATAGGGTGTCTCTCCCCCTCTTCCATTCTTCTCCTCCCCCCTCCCTGTGTCCCTCTCCCTCCATCCTCCACCCCCCGTTGGGGCCTGGCTAGTTTTCGTTCGCTGGGCAGGGCGGGATATGAGCACTGCCGAAACAGATGGTTGAGCTGAAAGTTTCACACGTGCGGTCCTTCCAACAATGGAGGGACCCCAGATGGCCCTGCGGAGCTTGACGCTTCCTGCCGAGTCGATCCGATCCACCCCCCGCCATCCACCCTCCACTCCTCACGTTCCGCCCTCGATCCCCCGCCCTCCACTCTCTGGATGCCTCTGGAGGTCCCCAGGGCCCCCAAATGGCAGCAAACATTCCCAACCTTTCGATGCTCGATCCTCGATCCTCCACACTCGACCCTACACCCTGTTAGTTTGTAGATTCCAGGTCTTATTTGGAGGTCCGACGGTGCAGTGCTGTTGCACAGGCATGCACTACGTTTCTGGTCATGGGCTTCAAGAAGTACTAAGCGAGAGCCCCGTTTTGAAAAGTAGCTGTCCTCCATGCGTGGTGCAGCCGTTCCATGCTTCAAGGTTCCTTTGCTTTTGAAGCTCTATCTTTGTGCACGGAAGTCTCTGGGACAAAACACACACAGTCTGTGGAACAAAACACATTGTGGGGAAACAATCGCTGTGTGTGTGTGTGGGAAAAACACACACATAGTGTGTGTGTGTGTGTGTGTGTGTGTGTGTGTGTGTGTGTGTGTTTTCTCCCACACACAGTGTGTGTTTTTTTCCCACAGTGTGTTTGTTTTTTCCCACAGTGTGTGTGTGTGTGTGTGTGTTTGTGTTTTTTTTGTTCCCACAGTGTTTTTTTTTCCGCTGGATCTCATTTCTGAGAAGGACCGCCCCAGTCCGTGCAGCCGTGGCAGGGGCCTGCGCTTCTGGCCATGGACAATGGACGCACCCGGCGAGCGCCCCGTCTCGAAGCGGGGCCGAGCCGCCCTCCATCGGTGCAGCTGCAGCGCATGCTCGGCTTCTTCGGAATCCAGCGTCGAGGGAGTCTCACCCCCCCCCCCTTGTGCCCCCCCCTTGTGGAAAACCGGCCGTCGCCGACCTGCAGGTCGCGCCCCTCTCCCCTTTTTCCCCTGCGCGCGCGACTTCGCGTTCCCCCGTTTCTTTTTGTGGTGTCGTCTCTACTGTGGTAAGCGGGTGCAGTTTCTGTGCCTTGCTGCTGGTTGGATGATCGGTTGACTGAGGGGCAGTAGGATGATGAGGAGGCGGAAGAGGAGGTGGAGATGGAAATCCCTCATCCTTCCTCTTTCTTCCCATCCTCCCACTCTCCCTCGCGCCCCCCTCCCCCTTGCCGTGCGCCCCCCTCTCCCTCCCCCCTCCCCTGTGCCATCCCTCATCTTCTCCTCTTCCTCCACGTGATCAGCGTTCTCTTCGTCCTCACCCTGTTCCTTCTCTTATTTTTCAACTCCTCTGCCTCTCCTCCTCCTCCTCCTCCTCCTCCTCCCCGTCGTGCTCCCGCCCTCAGGCTACTGCCGCTCCTCCCCGTCGTCCTCCTTCCTCCTCTTCCTCCTTCTCCTCGGCCCCCTCCCTCCTCCCTCCTCCTTCGCTTATCTTCCTCTTCCTCCCCCTCCTCCCCCTCCTCCTCCTCCTCCTCCTCCTCCTCCTCCTCCTCCTCCTCCTCCTCCTCCTCCTCCTCCTCCTCCTCCCCTGGATGTCCTCGACCCCCGAAGGCACCCGAGCTCTCCCAGGCAGGCCGCGTTCCCGGCGTTCCCGCAGTCCTTCGAGGAGATGGTGCGCTTCACGGCGCCCCGGGAGTGGCCGCCGGACGGCTCCCACGCGGCCCCGGAGTGCCTCGCTGGCGGCCGCGGGTCGCCGCTGCCCGAGGTGGCCGAGGCTAGGCTGTGCCGTGGCCACCCGGCCGTCCCGCAGGTGGCCCTTGCTAGGGGGCCACAGGCGAGCCCTACCCCTACCCCCCACGATTTCTGAGAGGGAGGGTGGGGTTCACTTCGCTCGAGAGCTCCCGAGCGAAGTGAACCCCGCCCTCCCCCTCAGGAATCGTGGGGGGGAGGGGTAGGGCTCGCCTGTGGACCCCTACTTGCCGCACACGGCTGCGGCGAGAGCGGTCCGAAGCGCCCTCGGCACGCCTGGCGTGTCTGGCGGCGGCGGCGTCGCCGCCGCAGGGCGCGGGTCGCTAAAGGGGGAGGAGAAGTTTTTGGCGGAGGAGCAGGCGTGAGGGAGGGGGGAGAGAGGGGGGAAAGAGGGGGAGGGGTGGGGAGAGATGGGGATGGATGGGGGGGAGAGGTGGGAGCATGAGTTAGCAGGAAAGGAGGGAGGAGGGAGGAAAAGGAGGGAGGGGGGAGGAAGAGGAGGAGAATGAGGAGGATGAGGAGGAGAAGGAGTAGGAGAGGAAAGAGAAGGAGAGGGATAATTACCCCAGTTCGACCCTACCTAGAAGTTGGAGCCCCTAGGAAAGCAGCATTAGTTGCTATGCTATGCTATGCTATGCTATGCTATGCTATGCCATGCCATGCCATGCTATGCTGCGCTATGCTATGCTATGCTATGCTATGCTATGCTATGCTATGCTATGCTGCGCTCTGTGATCTACTATGATATGCTATGCTATGCTAAGCTATGCTATGCCATGCTGCGCTGTGCTATGCTAAGCCATGCTATGCTGTGCTATGCTGCGCTATGCTATGCTATGCTATGCTATGCCATGCAATGCTATGCTTTGCTGTGCTATGCTTGGCTATGGTATGCTATGGTATGCTATGCTAATGCAGCGCTGCGCTATGCCAAGCTAAGCTAAGCTAAGCTAACCCTCTAGGCAGAGCCTAGGTAGGGAATTACACCCATGCTAATTACCCGGACAGAAAACTAAACTGGCAACGCGGTTGGCACACACGAGCGCCACAAAATACATCCACAGGTCTGGGGCAGGAGGACCAGGAGCTGGATGACGGTGAGGATGACGAGGAGGAGCAGGTGGCAGCGGCGGCAGTGGCGGCAGCGGCGGCGTCGCCCACGGATCCGTTTTTTTGTTTGCTCTAGGCGGAAGGGACGACGACGACGACGACGACGACGACGGACGACGACGACCGACGACGACGACGACGACGACGACGGATGCTCTGGTGATGCGATGGTGCCCATGGTGGGGGCGACGGGGGCGACTACGATGATGATTTTCGCCTCTAAGCTAAGATGAAGCTAAGCTAAGATGAAATAAGCTAAGATGAGATAAGCAACGCTAAGCTAAGGGAACGTAACTGGGGGAACCGCGGGGCGGATCCTGGGGGAACCGCCCGGGGCGCGTTCCACTGCCCGGCTCCTTTGAGCAAAGAGAGTAAGAACCCCTTCTAGGCAGAGCCTAGGAAGGGAATCAGTGTAAACCCAAGACGCGTCAACGATGTTGCAATAAACTCTTCCTCCAAGTTCCCTCCTCATAGGTCCTTGCGAGGATTTGTTTTCATTGCGGGAAGTGCCCTGTCGTGACAAAGCATCATTCCTGGGACTTCAGCGCCGCGAATCAACGCGACTGTTCCGTCCTGACAATCGTAAACCCTGCAAGAGCACCATTCCTGGGAAATCAACACCGCGAACGAACGTTACTGTTGCGTCCTGACAGTCCCAAATCGTGCCAGAACGCTACGCCTGGGACTTCAACCCCACGAGCCCTCGAAATTGCTGAAGAATTTATAGACGAAAGCGCGCGGCGCTAAAGCGAGAGCCACATTTTGAAAAGGAGCCACCCTCCTTCCTTGAAGCTGGTGCATAAATTGCAGACGAACGTGCGCGGAGCCAAATCGAGAATCATATTTTGAAAACGGCGCGCCCTCCATGCTTGAAAAGCTGTTGCAAACTTCAAAGACGAACGTGCACGGCGCCAAGACGAGAGTCACATTTTTGAAACGATCCGCTCTCCATCTTCGCAAGGGCTGCAAACTTTTAAGACACATGTGCGCGGTGCCCAGGCGAGATTATCATTTTGAAAACTGCCCGTCCTGCATCCTTGAAGCTGTTGTGAATTTTAGACCTCAGGACCATACATGATGAGGAAGTCTCAGGCAAAATGCCTGGCCCGGCCTTTAGACACGTCTGGATGTGCGACAGGACAGGGAGGAGCTTTTTGTACGGGAAAAGGACGTCTGGGGATGCGATAGGACAGGAACGACTTGTTGGTAAGGGACAGGGATGGAGGAGGAGCCGGAGGATGATGATGAGGAGGAGTAGGACTGGTGCAAATCCAAGACTCATCAACGATGGGGTTCACCTTCGATCACGGAAGTGCCCCGATGGAAGACAAAGCGTCTGTAAATCGTGAACCGTGCCAGAACACCACCCTTTGGATTTCAACGCCGCGAATCAACGCTACTGTTGCGTCTCGACGATCCTGAATCGTGCCAGAACAGCATTCCTGTGATTTCAACAACGCGAATCAACGTATTTGTTTCGCCCTGACAGTCCTACGTTGCGCCCAAACACAATTTCCAGGACGTCAAGCATGATAATCCTTTAATATGATGCAATTCTTTGCGACGAATGTGCGCGGCGCTAGAGCGAGAGCCACATTTTGAAAAGGTACCACAACCCATCCGTGAAACTCTTGGAACATTTTGGGACGAATCTGCGCGGCGCCAAGGCGAGAGCCACATTCTGAAAGCCGCCCGCCATCCATCCGTGAAGCTCTTGCATTGTTCAATTTTGAAAAGGACCCGCCCTCCATCTTTGAACCTATTGCAGATCTTGAGGTTCATGAATCTAGATGGTGGGGACGTCTTAGGCGAACCGCCTGGCCCACCCTGCCGACACGCATCGAGGTGCGACAGGGAGGAATTATTTTAAGGAAGAGGGGTGGAGCAGGAGGAGGAGGAGGTAGAGGAGGAAGAGGAGGAGGAGGAAGAGGAGGCGGAGGAGGAGGAGGAGAGAGGAGGAGGAGGGAGGAGGAGGAGGAGGAGGAGGAGGAGGAGGAGGAGGAGGGGAGGAGGAGGAGGAGGAGGAGGAGGAGGAGGAGGAGGAAGAGGAGGAGGAGGAGGAGGAGGAGGAGGAGGAGGAGGGAGGAAGAGGAGGACGAGGAGGAGGACAAGGATGAGGAGGAGGGGAAGGTAACGACGGGGCCTCGGACCGCTGACGCACCAGTCTCGAGCGGCCGGGGGCCACCTCTGGCGCCGGCCGGCTGCCAGGGTGTTGCTTGGCCAGGTGGCTGCCGCCTTCGGCCCTGGCGGCATTCCGTCGCGGCGCAGGGAGTTCGAGCTTCTCCGCGAGTCGGCCTCGTGGCCAGGGTTCCTGCCGAGGGGAGCCGAAGGGGCGAGGGACAAGAAGCTCGTGTCTTCGCCCAAGAAGCGCCAGGGCCCTGGGCACCGCAGGCATGGCTGCTCGAGGTCGAGCAGTCCGCGGCCGTCCCCGCGGCTTCCGCCAGTGGGCACCGCGCCAGGCCCCAGCGCCGCAGCGGGTGCAGCAGCCACCCTTGCGTCCTGCGGGCTGCCGAGCTACGAGGCCCTCACGCTCCCGAGGCACATCAAGCACATGTCAAAGCTGATGCAGTTCGATGAACCGCTGTAGGCGCAACGGCCGCATTCTGTATTGGCAACCGCGAGGAGCGACTGTTAAGCAGTAGCGACCCACGGACATTCTAATCGAAAGGGCTTCCGCCATTCCGCCGACTCCCAGAAGAGGAGTTGAGCGGCTTCCGACTTCGGATGTGTTGTCTACCCTTTTTCGTCATGATGCCTGCGTGTAGTTGTTGCTGATCCATCCTTCCTTTGCTTCGCGTCTGTTGCTGGGCTTCTTTGGGGCCTCTGGGAGGCCTCGGGGGTGGTCTCCTGGGTGCCCGTTGAAGGCTCCTGGGGCCTTTTTGGGGTCCTGTGGGGGCTTCTCGGGAGCCTCTTGGGGGCCTCTTGGGGGTATGTTGGGGGTCTCGGGGGCCATCTTCTTAGGCCCCTCTTGAGGCCCTTTTGAAAGCATTTTTGGTGGACTTGCGGGCCTCTCGGGCTGAACTTTGGGCTCTCTCGGGCTGTCAGTGGGCCCCCTTGATGGCTGCTTGGGCCGCCTTGGGCCAGTTTGGGGGGCCTCCTTGGATTCACAGAAGCGCGACAAGGCAAGAACGCCAGATTCGCTCAAACAATAATGGAACAGCACTAATCTTGTCTTTTGGGTGTCCCCTTGGAGTCCTCTTTGGGCATGTCGGGGGTCTCGTGTGCCCTCGTGCGGCAACCTTGTGTTTTTCTGATCTGAGGCGTCTCTGGCGTGTGAGACGCTTCTTGGGCCATCTCAGAAAGCATCTTGCACCGAGATTTCAGGCATCCAGGGGAGGGGGGAGGGGACATGTGGACAGCCAAGAGGCTCATGCGCCATTTCACCCCTGGCAAGCGTGGGTCGGCGGACTTGTGAATAGGGCAAAGAGACGACATTATCGTGGTGGGCATCCAGAAGAATAGCAGGCGCGTCGCCAGAGTCGTTGTCTTGTGCTGCTTCCCTTGCGCACAATCCGCGAGTTCATTGCGACGGTCGTTTTTTTGCAACCCTCCTTCGTTGGGTTCTCGTTTTGAACAGAGCTCTCTGGTCTCCAGTCCTCCTTCCTCCCGCCTCCCGCCCTTTCTCCCTCCTACCTGCCTGCTACCCTGCCTCCTATTTCGAGAGCTGCGGGGGGGGGGGGGGGGCCGGGAAGTGACGTCGTACCGCAGACTCATATTAGATCTCGCCATCCGGGGGGTGGGCTGCAAACTGCAAATTTGTCGCCCCTTTCGAAGGCTGCTGGGGGATCCAGCAGGGTGACGTCCTACGCGGACCCAGGTGAGACCTCATCATCACAGGGGTGGCTGCGAACTGCGAAACTGTCGCCACTTTCAAAAGCTACTGCGGGGTGTAGTTGAGTGACGTCTTACTCTGATCAGGTGTGACCTCGCCGTCGCTGCGGGCTGCGATCTGCGAGACTGTCGCCACTTTGGATGACTGCGGGGGGTCCAGCGGAGTGACATCTTATTCAGATCAAATGAGATCTCGCCGTCGCTGCGGGTTGTGAACTTCGTAACTGCCGCCACTGTCAAGGGCTGCTGGGGAGTGACGTCTTATTCAGATCAAATGAGACCTCGCCGTCGCTGCGGGTTGTGAACTTCGTAACTGCCGCCACTGTCAAGGGCTGCTGGGGAGTGACGTCTTATTCAGATCAAATGAGACCTCGCCGTCGTTGGGGGTTGTGAACTTCGTAACTGCCGCCACTGTCAAGGGCTGCTGGGGAGTGACGTCTCATTCAGATCAAATGAGACCTCGCCGTCGTTGGGGGTTGCGCTGCGATCTTCGAAGCGAGGGTCCAGCGGAGGTACGTTTTATTCAGATAAGATGGGGCCTTGCCATCGCCCTGGGCAGCGAGCTGCGAAGCTGTCGCTTCGGTGGTCCAGCGGAGTGACGTTTTATTCAGATCAGATGGAACCTCGCCGTCGGTGGGGGCTGCGATCTGCGAGACCGTCGCCACTTAGGATGGCTTGTGGGCGTCCAGCGGAGTGACGTTTTGTTCAGATCAGCTGAGGCCTCGCCGTCGCTGGGAGCTGCCAGGGCCTGTTCATGCACCACGGAGTCATTGCCGACGCTGGGTGCAAGGACGCGGAGGACTTGGACGCCGTCTGGCTGCATTTCTACGTGATGGATGGTCTCCAGGGTGACGACGGTGGACAACCTGTTGGTGATACGCGACCCCGTCCTTGATCTTGTTTTGTGCGGGCCGCATGCAAACCTAACGGCGTACTTGCGGGCGTTTAGCTCCCGCTCCGAAGCGTGCAGTAAGGAGGCGGGAGACTAGCGGGCGAACTAGGCCACGCTCGCATCTTGCTCTAGCTATGGCAAGTTGTTCCTTGGGAGCGCCACAGCGACATGGCGTGAGTCGCGCTGCTTTCAGCGTGCCATTGGAAAGCAAACGCCACCCTCTTTCCTCATCCTGCCTCCCTTGTTGTCGTCCTCTTTCTCTTTCCGCCATCTCTTCTCCTGTTCTTCTCTTGCCCCTCGTCCTCGCCCCCATTTCCCTTGCGAGCCTAGGGCTTCAGTCCTTGTCCTTCCACGACTGACCCGTGAGTCGTGCAGCGCGCGCGCGTCCCATGTTGCTTGAACAACACATGGCGGTCCCTTTGTTGTCACCAGCCACAAAAATGTGGGCCAAGCCCAACTCATCTTGTCACTCAATCCACATTGGTTGGGTACGTTACATTGGAGTTGTTCCCCTGCCATCCTGAAGCGGGTGCCCGTGTTGAACAGAGCATTGCTGTTCATTCCTTTCGTGTCCAGTTATGTTCTCGCCTTTTTCTCCTCCTGCCCCCTACCTTTTGCCGGTTTCCAACTTCTTCGCCTCCCCCGGTGCTGCCACTTGCGCAGTTGTCGCTACCTTCGTGAGCCCGTGGGAGGTCCAGCCGAGAGCGGTCCTGCCGAGACGTCGCCGTCCCTGCTTGGTGCCACCTGCGCAATTTTCGGTAGTGGGGATCCAGCAAGGTGCGGTCCAACGGTGATCCAAACCAGAAGTTCCTCGCCGTCACTGGGGCTGCCCACCACGCAACTGTCGCCGTGCGCTCCTGGGAGGTCCAGCGGAATGGGGTCGTCCACGGACCCAAAACATTGTTTTTCTGGGGTTGCCAAGTGAGCAGCTGTCGCCGCTTTTGTAATCTCATGCGAAGTCTAGCAAGGTAGGATTTCCAGCGGGCTCGATCTAGACTTCGCTCTCCCAGAGGGTTGCGAAATGCGTTGCTATCGCCATTTTTGTGGGATCCAGGAGGTTCAGCGGGGAGGGGTCTTCCGTGGTCCCAGACTATACCTCGCTTTCCGTTGGGGGCTGCAAACTGTGCAACGATCACACATTCGTGGGCTCCTGGGAAGTCCAGCGGGGAAACGTCCTACGCAGGCTCAAATTCGACTGATCCATTTCTGGGGGCTGCTACTTTTCTTAGACTGCTGAAGCGGCCCAGCGGAGTGACGTCGTACGCGGACCCAAACGACCTAGGCATCCGTTGGTCGTTGCGATTATGTTCACCTGGGAAGTCCAGCGGAGTGAGGTTTTTCGTTTGCTCAATTAGATCTCGCTTTCCCTGGGGGTTGCCAATGTGTGGGATCCAGAGAGGTCCAGCGGAGGGGGTCTTTCGCGGACCCAAAGTAGACGTCGCCATGCGTGAGGGTTGCCAACGGTGTAGCTGTTCCCACTTTTCCACTTTCGCAAGCCCCTGGCAGGTCCAGCGGAGTGCTGTTTTACG